AGCTATGTGTGCACAGGGTCACGCGCCGCTGACCTCCACTGCAGGGTACTGCCATTGTGGGAATGGGTAAATAAACAATGGCACAATATGAGGGGACTGGCATAGTCAATGTAAATACAACAACTTGTAGAGAAATAATTCTACTTTGCACGACGAGAAAATCCGTGTGTTGAAAATGGATGGACTCTCGATGCCATTGGCATGATTGTATCACATCTTCGTCACTTACGCCCAACGATATTCACGACAAATCTCGGTTTAATCTCTCAGTTTTAAGCATGTTTTCTAAACAATACATAGAAAAAAGACACTTACCTCATTTCTGATAATGTTTGTAATGACATTTACTGAAACAGAAGACAGGATATTCTTGAAATCAACGCGAGATTACTGACGTCCGGCGAAGGCTAAATTAAATTTGGCGCGGCCTGTCGGAATAATACTTAACCCCTACAACTTTAATGGTACGATCCAGTCAAGACGACAGAAAAAAAGGCTTTAATTTCAAAACAATACTTTAAATTAAACCTAAAACTTAACTGATAGATTGCAAAAATAGTCCTACATATTACTTATAAATAAAATCTATACCAAACGTCGTAGAATTGTAACATTTGACGATGAAAGACGATGAGTAATAATTGATGACGTCACAAATGCGGTTTTGCGTGCTTGTGTCATCCGGGACCTGTAGATGAAAGGTCATTTCAGACGCTAGATGTGAATAGTCAATCCTCTCCAAAGCTTCGTTCCGACAAAATTATTCAACCAATCAAAACATGTTTTATATCGCCAGAAAGCTAATATGGGTCATTCCATGTCAGACCAACGCACTTTTTTACCTCATGTCTTCCGATTTTAATAAAAATTGCTGTGCTTGTAGGTCCTAATGAGCAATGAATACACACCAATTTTTAGCCCGATCCGACCTACCATGTGGTCAGGGCAGAAGCCACAAAAAAATGGCATTTTTAGAGTAAAATACCACCCTTTTGGTATAAATATGTCAAAACTATGGCAATTTTCATCCAATATATGTGAATTTGGTTTTAAAATAATGAGGATTGCATGCTCAAATCACTCTTTTTGTCAAAATTAAATTTTGTGAAAAGTAGGTCACGTGACCTTTAATATGCTATCGTGACCTTTGACCCAATTTTTGTAATAATGTATCATTCCGAAAATCAACGAAATAAAAATAACTTGCTAGAGCATGTCTTCCTCTATCAGAATCTACTAAAAATCAGTTGGGGTCTTCAAAATTTACAACTTTATGACTACTTTTGTACAGTTAGTAGGTTACAAATGAGTCAATTTATAGACTTTACATAAGAAATTCACCAACACAACTTACTATTCTGTTTCTAAAGTTACTAAAATTAATCTAGATTTTTATGTATAAAGTACAAAGCCAGGAAAAACAAAATTCCACCTTCTGATTCCAAAGAAACTGTCTAATCAGAATATCTGGACTCAAAGTGTGCTAACCACTAACAGTAACCAGGCCTTCACCCAGTACAGCGGACTCACGTCCAGGTGAAATTCACCTCAAAGGAACAAAATGCCAAGTCTGTGAGAGTCATTAAAGTTCAAGAAGCACAGTGATGAATGAGTAAAGGTAACTTTGATTGTAATATTAAGTATTATCTTCAAGCAAACTTGAATCCTAGACCCTGATTAGTCCATCTATAGCAACAACTGTGTGATTTTATATAATATTGCACAGCTATATTGCACCCCAGATATTAAAAATGTACGTGTACATATGTTGTGTTATTTCCTGCAGAACGGACCAAAACACTACATGTATGCACGTACATCTTCACTGCGTGTACGCATTTGATATCAAGTTTGCTTGAAGATAAATTGGTTATAAATCCCACTTGCGCTCGTGGAACACGGAATTATGTAGTGCATCGAGTGGCATATGGGTCACAGCAGCATTGCATTATTTCATATTCCAAGCGCGCTCGTGGGATAACTAATTATCAGTGGCACCCAGGAGGGGGGGGGGGCCTTGAACCCACCCCCAACATTGTCAATTTGTTTGTTTGATTTTATTCTAGTTTTTGTTGGTCCAATCTTTTACAGAAATTTGAACAAAAAACGATTTATGACCCCCCCCCCCCCACCAAAAGCCAAATCCTGGGTGCGCCACTGCTGATAATTTACACTATGAGTCTGGTTAGACCTCATCAGCCCTCAGAATGAAAAATTCACAAACCAAGATATATTTTAGTAACTTTAGAAACAGAATAGTAAGTTGTGTTGGTGAATTTCTTATGTAAAGTCTATAAATTGACTCATTTGTAACCCACCAACTGTACAAAAATAGTCATAAAGTTGTAAATTTGGAAGACCCCAACTGATTTTTAGTAGATTCTGATAGAGGAAGACATGCTCTAGCAAGTTATTTTTATTTCGTTGATTTTTGGAATGATACATTATTACAAAAAATGGGTCAAAGGTCACGATAGCATATTAAAGGTCATGTGACCTACCTTTCACAAAATTTAATTTTGACAAAAGAAGTGCTTTGAGCATGCAATCCTCATTATTTTAATAACAATTTCACATATATTCGATGAAAATTGCCATAGTTTTGACATATTTATACCAAAAGGGTGGTATTTTACTCTAAAAATGCCAATTTTTTGTGGCTTCTGCCCTGACCACATGGTAGGTCGGATCGGGCTAAAAATTGGTGTGTATTCATTGCTCATTAGGACCTACAAGCACAGCAATTTTTATCAAAATCGGAAGACATGAGGTAAAAAAGTGCGTTGGTCTGACATGGAATGACCCATATACTGCATATTCATAAGCCGCTAGGCCCAAAGCAGCCTGATCACAATGAAACGAGTGAGGGCTCACGAAAGCGAGTAATGTGCAAGGAAACTCGCTGTTTTGCTAGCTCTCCCACGCAAAAACGACGACATTATGCAGGTTTACTATGTTTTTTCCAACGAAACTGAGGAACTTACTGGTATTATTTGTAGGTTTTGGATTTGATGAATAGTTATTCAAGTGACTCCCGAGCGGCCCAATGCTGGAAATGCAGCGCACTTTTTTTATAAAATCACTTTTTCATAAAAAATGCTCATTTGACCTATGTACGCAGGCCAGATTGAGCGGATGAGACAACGTTTCCATATACAGGCGCAGATCCAGGGGTGGGCCGCGGGGGCACGTGCCCCCCGTCAAATTGAGTCCACAAAAAAAAATGAATAAAACAGGAGGGAAAAAGAGGTGGAGGTGAGAGAAATGGAGGGAAGGAGGAGGGCAACCTTCTAACAAAAATGCCGGCGCCGATATTAAACATCAGCGGCCTGCAAACATTGTGTAGTGGCCGTATGACACAGGGAACTCGAGAAGCTTCGAAGTAAACCGCGATCCCACCGTACGTATCCATACATAACCCTGCATGGTAGGCCTATATGGATTATGAAATGCGATTCATATGAGCGCACGCACCGGTACGAAAAACACGCACGTGTGACGGCCGATGTGCTGTGTTTAGCGCGATGAGCGCGACATACACGTTGAACCACGGATCAGATCCGTGGTTGAACGCTGCTCTTTGGACCACACTATTGGTCAAGGGGTGTGTTTTCGTATAACAATTTGCCAGCATTTCTTCCACGCACTTCCAAGGAGTCCAAAACATGTCCGTTTCAGTAAAAAATGTCCGTAGAAAATCTTATCTTATTGATAAACTGAAAATTTATACTTGACATACAAAACATTAGAAAGCATCCTTGCAAAAGTTTACAAACTAAGTCTATACAATTCCGTTTCAAAAATGCACGAAAACAATTATGCAAACGAAAATGGTTATCAAGTGAAAAACAGAAGAAACTTAAAAGGCTTGTTAAAGCAAGAGTATACATGTATATTAAACCAATGAAAAAAATCCTTATTTAACTTAAAACATTTTGCTCAAATAACTCAGGGAAAGAGGGGCCAGATATCGCCTCAGATTGCACCACAGAGCATCTAATTATCAAACAAATTCCCGGGGCCCTTAAGCGGGCCCCGGACCCACGCCGACAGACATTGCGCTCTGCATTATTAGTCCTCGGGGCAGATCTCCCGACGCATCCTTAAAACAGTTTACAATCTAAGACTATCCAATTCCTTTACAAAAATTAAATGCAAGAAATTGATTATGCAGTCGAAAATACTTGGTTATCAAGTGAAGAACAGAAGAAACTTAACTAGGCTTGTATTAAGAAATACAAGAGTACAATTTCAAACCAATGAACAAAAAATTTAAAAAAACACATGGTGTTACCGCAAACCGAAGCGATAATGAAAAAAAAATCCTAATAATCTTCACAACATTTTAATGAAATGGGGCCAGGAATCGCCTCAGTTTGCACCACAGAACATCTATAGAATCAAAATTTCCCGGGGCCCTTCAGTGGGCCCCGAACCCCACGCCGTAAGACACTGCTTCACGTTCGCATTAGTCCTTGGAGCAAATGCCTCAGCGCATCGCCCGTTGCAACAGTTTACAATCTAAGTCAATACAATTCCTCTTCTTCTTTTTTTTTTAAATACAATGCAACAAATTATGAAGACAAAAATACATGGTTTGCAACTTTGAAGTACACAGTACCTTTAAATTTGTAAAAACAAGAGTATATTGTAAAAAAATCCTTACAAGTTTATCAACTTTTGCACAAATAATTCAGGGGGAAGGGGCCAGGAATCGCCTCAGATTGCATCACAGAGCATCTAGAATCAAACATTTCCCGGGGCCCTTAAGCGGGCCCCGGACCCCACGCCGTAAGGGCTTCGCGCTCCGCTCTCGCATTAGTCCTCAGAACAAATGCTCTAAGATGTGCCCCCCGTCTAAAGAAATCCTGGATCCGCGCCTGATATAGTTCAGTTCAGTTCAGATACATATATTTACGTTTGAAAACCTGTGAACCGTTCGTTGTCAATGGAGCTGGAAGTCCGGTGGAAAAAAAGAAAAGAAAACCAGGTGAACTTACCACGATGTTACAAAAGTGAGTCACAATAATAAGGCGGCAACTTGCGCTTTACTAAACACCAACCGATCTCCACGAGGGGCTCCAAGTAGCTGTCTTTTTTTTCTGCGGCTCTCTGTACGCTATCCAGTCACACCGATGCACTGAGAGAGTAGAGTGTTTTTATGGTGAGGACACGAATCAGTAAGTAGTGGCGATCGCGATATGGTCGCTTTCACCTCCGCCCACGGTTGAACAGACTTGTTTTTTTCCACCCGTGAAAGCATTGGCTTTCGTCCTTGGGTTGTGTTTTTTCTATGCAAACAAACTAAATAAAATATGCACCAACGCACAAACTAAATGGCACAATGAACCTTATGGCTTGCATAGAAGTAGAAATTTTACCTGCATTGAGGTTGAAATTCTACCTCCATTTGCACAACTAAATATCAAAGTGACCCTGCACAAACACATATGATATACACGCACATCTGTATATAGGTACTGCGTACTGTATAGCGGACTGTGCACCGATCTCCTGTCTTGTTAATTATAGTCCAGGCAAAATACTTTTATTTTTAAAGTGAAACTCACACATACGAACTGCAACAGAATTTGGAATTCTACCTACATTTCCTTGTTTGAATAACATTTTCTAAGGGAAATCAATATCAGAGACCGGATAAGGACATAATAAAGATACAAAATGGCTATTATTAATACTTTAAATTAAGTTGCGCGTAAATGCCTTTTACTCATACATTCTCAAAGGTCAGTATTGATGAGCTTCAAATTCACAAACTTCTATCTACTGGCACAAACTTCTATCTACTAACAAAAATAAACGGTGAATTATGTGAAAAAAATAAAAAATTCTTGATCATATGCCAAAATACCGGGGGGAGGGGGAAATGTGGTGTTCATGGTAAATTGGGCTAAACAGTAGGCGACGGGTTGCCTAACGAACAAAATAAAGGATTATTGTTGCTTACAATAAAACTGTCAACGTCAAAATGTTTTCTTACCAGTAATTTTGGAATTTCCTTGAACTTTTAGGCACCCACCTGCTTTTTAGCCCAATTATACAGACGCCTCTTTCCCCGTTTTTTGTTTTCTGGGCTAAACATCGAATTTTTATCATTCTTCAAATTTGCAGGAGCTAATTCACGTTGGGTCATTTTTGGAATTCAAATTCACCATTAAGCAAGATTTGTGAAATGTAAGCAAAAGAATTCGAAACTGGTTCATGTGATTACTTTGTTTGTCTGTTTCTTTGTTCCAATTTGAAAATGCTTAATACTATTTCCCACAAGATACGGCTACATAGCAGCAGCCACAAATGACCATATTTTGATCATTTTTTTGCATAAAAACAAGCACATGTTACTGAAATAAAGAATGTTTAAGATCAACTTAGGGCCTCATTTAGAAAAAGGTCAGAGATATAAGAAACCAAGATCGTCATTTAAATCTAGAAGATAGAAGGGCAAATGCACAGTAGTTTAAAACCATATATGACCCAGACATCATCAATATTCTTGAATTATCATCAAAAATATCATTGAAAACGAATTCAAATGCAATCATTTACCATGTAAAATATTGTCCAAATTCATTAGTACGTGCATCTTTGTCAAAACGATGCAGATTTTGCTATTCGGGAGTTTAACTCGCTGCTGTGGAGTAACGCCCTCTGTTGACCAATAGTGTACAGTGTGACAACTATTTTTTTTTCAGTTCAAAACTTCGCGGATCTAGGACGACGTACGTTCACTGCGCTATTTTGTGAGATCAAAAGTAAGACTTACCCATGCTTTTATTCAATCTACTCAAATGGGACTCATTAATTTACTGGAGAATTTTCATTTTCGAAGGAATGTAGTGTAATGTTTAATCATTGTTTTCCCTCGAAATTTGGGAAATAAAATTAATCATTGTGTGCAACGCAGGGGAATATGTATGTTTATGATGTTTCTCGCTTTTTTGAGTTTTGGGGGAGAGAGGGCAATCAGTAGAATGTTAGTAGGTTTTTTTATATTCTAAAAAGAAAAACAACCAAAACTACTTTGTAACTTACTCTTAGTAGAAAAGAAAAAAAACTAAAGTATTTTGAAAGTTACTCTATAAGCTTTATGCTGGGCTAAAGGTGTTCCATCTCACGATCTTCTTCGCTAATATGCGATCGCGAAATCTGCCTGATATACTGACAACAAATGCTTCACTATGATCGACCGAGAAACTCATCCAATCACACTTTTTTTTTTTGTCACTGTGCCGCGTTTTAATTGTCTTTGCTTCCATAGAGTCACTGTTTAATAATCTGATTCGACATAGGATTTTCTCAGTGTATTTATAATTTCCTAGGCAACATTGATGAAGCTGTTTAAAAATCCATGTTTTGTAGCTTTGGTCAATTTGTTTCTTGGAGAGAAAAAAACAGAGAAAAAAAACCTTAAAATTGAGATGAAAGGCTTTTACACTTAATGGACAGACCAGGTTTTGCTGTAAGTGAAAGTCATACAGAATCGTTCTAAACACCTTTTCCTAATTCATAATCAAACAGAAAGGGCCTATTCCGAAATAAACTGTGCTATAATTATTATAGTCCAAAATGGTACTTATACACATGGCATTTTGAATGTAAGTTACTGTCTGACACGAGCAGTTATATAGTTTACGAAAATATTATTTTCTTTCTTAACTTTACAAGAAATTAAGTTTCAGATATTAACTACTCTACATGACATCAAAACCCTAAAAAGAACCTGCCTGTGCGAAATGTGCACCTTTATTTCATGCCAAGGACACTTAGTAAACTGTGATATCGATGTACAAAAAAACCTGTACATGTAGTACGTGAGGTTGACTCACTACAGAACAATCGGATTGGAAAGGGATTTCCCCTCTTCATGGCTTGTCAACAGAGGGCGCTGTTTTTCTTACTCAGCCGCTGCGTTCCGATCACCTGGCCGGCGAAAATGAACAGTATTGGTCAACAGAGGGCGCTACTCCCCAGCAGCGAGTAAAACCACTATGAGTAAAACTCCCGAATAGCAAAATCTGCATCGTTTTGACAAAGATGCACGTACTAATGAATTTGGAAAATATTTTACATGGTAAACGATTGCATTTGAATTCGCTTTCAATGATATTTTTGATGATAATTCAAGAGTATTGATGATGTCTGGGTCAAATATGGTTTTAAACCACTGTGCATTTGCCCTTCTATCTTCTAGATTTAAATGACGATCCTGGTTTTCTTAGGCCAAAAAAAAAGTCTCCGGTTTCTGGTATGCGCGCGCGTCGCCGTAGCCATGCGCGTCGGCAAAATGAAAAAGTTTTTTTTTCAATGAAAGATGATGTCTCAAAACCGCCAAACTCACTGGTTTGACTGGAATCCTGCTGCTGCACAATTTTAACGTGTTTTTAGATTGGGTAATGGTCGAGAATAATCTTTATGTGGCCTCTCTGGACTCCCATATATTTGCACTAAGTTTAGTCGGGCACCATTTTCAGTCATCAGCCGACATTTGAAGCAAAAAAATCAAGTAAAAAAAAAAAAGCCGCGTCGCCGCACCACTTTTTGGGCAAGCTCCATACTAGAAACCGGAAACTTTTTTTTTTTTGGCCTTATATCTCTGACCTTTTTCTCAATGAGGCCCTAACTTGATCTTAAACATGCTTCATTTCAGTAACATGTGCTTGTTTTTATGCAAAAAAAGTGATCAAAATATGGTCATTTGTGGCTGCTGCTATGTAGCCGTATCATGTGGGAAATAGTATTAAGCCTTTTCAAATTGGAACAAAGAAACACAGACAAACAAAGTAATCACATGAACCGGTTTCGAATTCCTTTGCTTACATTTCACAAATGTTGTTGCGAATTCGAATTCCCAAACTGACCCAACGTGAATTAGCTCCTGCAAATTTGAACAATGATAAAAATGTGATGTTTAGCCAAGAAAACAAAAAACGGGGAAAGAGGTGTCTATATAATTGGGCTAAAAAGCAGGTGGGTGCCTAAAAGTTCAAGGAAATTCCAAAATTACTGGTAAAAAAACATTTTGACGTAAAGGGCAAAACCTATAATTGGACAGTATTATTGTAAGCAACAATAATCCTTTATTGTGTTCGTTAGGCAACCCGTCGCCTACTGTTTAGCCAAATTTACCATGAACACCACACTAGTTTTCCCCTCCCCCCGGTATTTTGGCATATGATCAAGAATTTTTCATTTTTTCACATAATTCACCGTTTATTTTTGTTAGTAGATAGAAGGTTGTGCCAGTAGATAGAAGTTTGTAAATTTGAAGCTCATCAATACTGACCTTTGTCGAGAATGTATGAGTAAAAGGTATTTGCGCGCAACTTAATTTAAGGTATTAATAATAGCCATTTTGTATCTTTATTATGTCCTTATCCGGTCTCTGATAGTGATTTCCTTTAGAGAATGTTATTCAAACAAGGAAATGTAGGTAGAATTCCAAATTCTGTTGCAGTTTGTATGTGTGAGTTTCACTTTAAAAATACAAGTATTTTGCCTGGACTATAATTAACGAGACTGGAGATCAGTGCACAGTCCGCTATACAGTACGCAGTACCTTTACAGATGTGCGTGTATATCAAGTGTGTTTGTGCAGGGTCACATTGATATTTAGTTATGCAAATGGAGGTAGAATTTCAACCTCAATTAATGCAGGTTACTTCTATGCAAGCCATCAGGTTCATTGTGCCATTTAGTTTGTGCGTTGGTGCATATTTTATTTAGTTTGTTTGCATAGAAAAAAAAACACTTCCCAAGGACGAAAGCCAATGCTTTCACGGTGCAAATAACCAAGTCTGTTCAACCGTGGGCGGAGGTGAAAGCGACCATATCGCGATCGCCACTACTTATTCGTGTCCTCGCCATAAAAAAACACTCTACTCTCTCATCAGTGTGACTGGATAGCGTACAGAGAGCCGCAGAAAAAAAGACAGCTATTTGGAGCCCCTCGTGGAGATCGGTTGGTGTTTAGTAAAGCGCAAGTTGCCGCCTTATTATTGTGACTCACTTTTGTAACATCGTGGTAAGTTCACCTGGTTTTCTTTTTTTTTCCACCGGACCTCCAGCTCCATTGACCACGAACCGTTCAGAGGTTTTCAAACGTAAATATATGTATCTGAACTGAACAAGTTGGGCAAAAGGGTTGATTATTCGACCAACGATTGGCGAATAGTTAACACGTTTAACTATTGGGCAACATTGCCTAATACATATTGCGTTGTTTATATTTTGCTCAACGAATTATTTGCCAAACATTTTTACATTGTAGTTTGGAGTTTAATTAACGTGTGATTCAGGAACGGGTCAATGTATATTAGCCTACCAATGCTGGCCAGCATGCACACATTAGCAACACGACGACAAGGCCTAATGTCCTGCTAATCCCCAGAGCTTACGGCGACTTAAAGGACTGTACAGATAGGTTTCGGGGTGAGAAGAACATGTGTTTCAATGGATAACTTTCGTTTTGGGCGTCCCTAATCCAAATTAACCTTTCAAAAACTCAGACGAGATTGAAAATATGAACTCGTTCCAATTACTTCAGTCAGGTTGGCGTAGCAGTACTGTCCTCGCCTTCCACCGCTGTGACCCGGGTCCGAGTTCCACATGGGCCAACATACACGTGGCCGAGCTTCTCCCTGCCTCATTCGGTTGCTTTTCCCTTTGAAATATTCTGTCTTCTCCTCTAAAACTGTAATTACTACTCACTATTATCCTTTCTACAGGTTTCTTAACGCTTGCAAGCTACAGTACCTTTAGGGCGGTCTTTGGGAATCTTTTGTATACTAATTATAATAACTATTATTATAATAAGGTATAATACAAAAAACCAAGGCCGAATCCCTTATCCTATATAGTGTTTATATCAACACAGGCAATCATATGTGACCAGTAATCCTCTAATCCATAATTCTACAGCGCCAACCACAAACGTAGTTTTTATGCGCCAAAGTAGTGCCCCATCCAACCTGCCTCTTTTGTTTGTTAGACCCTAACATATTCAAGAACAGGTCGTAAAACTTTTGCAAAGAAGTAAGGTGAGGCATTTAACCCAAATGGAAGTCTGGTCCAGCAAAAACAATTATGATTCCATTTAAACCCTAGGAAGGTTTGATGAGATGCACAAACAGGCACATGATAAAACCCATCCTTGAGATCAATCGTAATTAAATGGTCCTCACTCTTCACTAATGAATAAACATCAATTTTCTCGTTAGAAAACTTGGGAGCGTCAATGTAAGAATTAACAACAAGAAGATCAATAATAAGTCTCCACTTATTTTTGCCCTTCTTCGGTACCACATTCAGTGGAGAGACAACCCTAGGTTTAAAAGCACATCTGGCAATAATACCTTTCTGAAGCAAGTTCTTAATCTCACTATTCAAAAAGTTTTTTGATCACTTGAAAAATTTCTGTCAGGCAATTCAATCACCGGTTGGTCAGTGGTAAACGGTAGTGTAACACCACATTGAAGCCAACTAATAACAGTAGGAGACGCACCTATTTCTTGCCATTTGGAATAGTTAGAAAGTTAGAGCCAGCTGGTCCAAGATTGCTGGATCCACACTCTCATTCTTGTGAAGGTCGCTGTACGCTAGCTGAAGCACTTTCAGAACTGTTTCTAGGTAGCGACTGCTCTTTTGTAGCAGAAAGTAAAGTGCCCTCTCAGTTTTATTATTGGTACCTGTTGGGGCCCTCACACAGCCTGAGTGAAGAGTCCAGTTGTACTCGTGAGACGGTAGCCTTTACCGCGCTGAATTCCTTTTGGATGTCTTCTTTACTGATGGCGGCCGCACCGGTGTCAGTGGCTTGTGTGTGTGCCTGATTATCACAGGCGCAATCGGGCTTGTCGTGTTGTGTCGTTTCAACCACTAGTACAGGCAATATAAGGTTTGACTTCAAACAAATTGCAACAGAATTTTTTTTTAATTTCTCATACTAGGTAGATTTCTATAAGGTCCCTAAAATGACATACTAAAAGTCTTTAAAAATCCAGGTGGTGGAAATATGCCTAATTTATGTTAGGACTTTTGCATTGATTTGGTCATATTTCTCATACTAGGTAGATTTTGGAGGTACTTTAAAAGACAGTTTTAGTCCTTTTACATTGATATTACCATTATTCTAGTCCTAGGTAAATTTCAAGATCCCTATGTTTCCGAAATTTTCCAAATGCCGTATAATTTGCATAAATGCCGTATATCAATTTGCCTAAATTAAAGTTAAAATAATGGATGCCATGTGTGGACATGTACCAAATGAATTTTCCCTCTAAATTTGGACTCGAATGTCGTACGAAGTCAATTTCGGTGGCAAACCCCATACATTTGATACCTATAATCTTAATGACCTATTGCTGATGATGTATCCCAGATGGATGGCAGCCATCTTGGATTAGTCAAAATAGCTGCCATCTTGGATTTCATTTATAATAACATTGCACCTGCCCCCCCCCCCCCAGTGAATGCATTATTGCCCTGTCAACTCGGGTACAAGCGCTGTGAGAAATGAAAATAGGGGTCCGCTCATGAGTCCGACGCCTCATAGGTCCGACAGAATCGCATCCCCTAACCAAATAAAGGCCCATAAGTCCGACGCCTCATAGGTCCGACAGAATCGCATCCCCTAAGAAAATAAAGGCCCATAAGTCCGACGCCTCATAGGTCCGACGCCTCATAAGTCCGACGCCTCATAGGTCCGACGCCTCATAGCTCCGACAGTTTTGTATGTCCGACAAATTAAACGCCTCGTTTTTCCGTTGTCGGACTTATGAGGCGTCGGACTTATGAGGCGTCGGACCTATGAGGCGGAATAAATAAATTTTATGCCTCATAAGTCCGACGCCTCATAAGTCCGAAATTTTGGACATATGAGGCGTCGGACCTATGAGGCGTCGGACTTATGATACGGCCCCTGCAAACACAGGGCGTCGCCTACCAATGTTAATTTTAATGGAGGGTGTTGACAGAAAATTGTCGACAGGCCGTCTGTACTGGAAGCTAGCCCGGGGTGGACACCACCCAACTTTTGGGGCATGTCGATCAGTGCCCCCAAAAGTTGGATGGCGTCTACCCCCGGGCCGCACTATTCAAAGCGAACGATCTTCAAACAATTATGGGAAGATAGGTTGCGCCATTCGTCAAAGCATATATTGGACAGGACGACAATTTTGCCAAAATTTATGTCACCCCAACCCTTCTCTAGTGGTACTTGTGTGTACTCAAACCAAAGTATATTTACCGACAGGACGACAATTTTTCCGACAAAACCAATTGATGTGGGTTCTCACACCCCTTCACACATGCTCAAATTTGTATCCTTGTGGAGACATTTCCTTGTTCTCGTGTAGTACAGTTTTCGAGTTTGAAAGTGAAGTTCCAAAATGCTCTTATTTTAACCAGAATTAATTTCCTTGGCTGAAATTCGGACTTAATATCCCTTTTCTAAAACTCTTCCATTTGCGACAAATCAACCCACCTTGGAAATTTCTAGTTTTTGGGTAAAATCCATATATCTACTTCGTGAAAACCTTGTGGAGACCTATTCATCTATAGAAATTGCCCTGTGGAGAACTATACAATCTTTTGTTCCCTATTGTGAAAATGTCTCCACAAGGATGCAAATTTGCGCTCACTAGTGGCACTCGTGTATATATACACAAACTCCAAAACTAAAGTATATTTGCCGACAGGACGATAGCTTTGCCGACAAACCGATTGATTGGGTGGAGGGGGCCAACACCCCTTCTCTAGCGACATACGTGAGTACAATTAAACCAAAGATGGGTGATGGGACTTTTCACTTCCCATGGTCACTTCCACGGTGTATCAATACAAATGTCTTCCCAACATGACTGCCCCATTTTTTTTTTCGTTAGAAAAGAACAGAAGAGACTTGAAATGAAGGGACACACCTGTGTGATTCTCTTGATGTGCCTCAGCTGTGTATGTGCGACGGCACTTCAAGGTATGTACATGTTCATGTGATTGTAAGATAGACCCTATGTAAGACTTAAAGTGGGACAGATAGGGAAAATATTTGAGGGAATTGTGCCTTTGATGACACGAGCCTGGCATTTGACACACAGTCTTTTTGACCCTGCCTTTATCCTCTAACTGCGCTTTGTCTATACGATTGGGAATTAAACTATTCGCAAACACATGTATTTCCTCGTATAACGGCAGAAATGAGGAATAATACTAGTCTTGGTTAAGATGTAAAGACTGGTAGAGGTAGCAAAAATTGTATTGTGTTGTAGCTTGTTTTAAGCATGCCATTACACAAAAACAGACGAATTGTTTATACTTCTAAGCATCAAACACATTAAATGAGTAATAATTGCTTACGAGTATAGAACAGCCATACCATAAATATTCAAAGGACGGAGCAATATTATGTATTATATTAAATAACATTAAAGGTACAATTCAAGTTTGCGTTTACAAAATATATGACGAAAATCTTAGAGGAAACATAACAATAACATTACACAACTATAACATTTGTATGTCTATCCACTTTTTGACTAGGTTTGATTTCACTTGTTGTTTACTTTTCTCAGAGAAATCGGCCAAAGATGAGTTGCTTCTGGAATACCTTCTGGAATACCTGCGGGAATACCTGACCGAGTGTAGGTTTGCGTGATTGTATCTGTCATCTTTACTAATCTCACTTATAAGCATAGAGCTATATTAAATTACTAGAGTGCTAACTCCTTATTCTTGCGCGCGTGAAGCCGCTCTGAGCGCAGACATTTTGAATTTATGTGCGTGTTTGTAGAACACAATCAAAATAGATGGATTGAATTTTAAATGTGTACTCTAAAAATGCAACGCGCAAGTAGAAGATACGCAAATAACTTAAGCGCGTCATGACGGTTCAAAAAACGTCACGGCAAAAAGCATCTGCAGCGGAGGGACGAGCATACGTTGCGCTGTTTGCGTAGAGCAAAATGAAACGCTCATTTGCTGATCGTGCGTTTCCGTTTTGGGCGTATCGGCTTCGATGACACACCGGTATGGAATACAAACGCATTAACGCCCTGGTTACCGTGCGCACGACGCTTGCGGTGTTAATATGGAGGTCTTCTGAAAAAAAGTTCGACTACAAACAGAAGAGGGACAAACAGGACGTTCAAGGTGGGAGGTCGATGCTCGACTATCAGCCTGCACGTATGCAGTATACTGTTCCTCCCTGGGGATCTCGAAAGTGGTCAAAATGTGCCATCTACTTACATGTACAAAGCCCATTACCATTAGTGTTTCTTTAGCATTTGGTACTGCATCCCCAATACATTCTTTGGAGTTCAGGGTTAAAAAAGCATGTTTCCTGGCTCTTATTTTTTTTAATTTAGTGAAAATTGTACTTCATCCCATTGTTAGGCATTTTGCAACCCACTAAAAAAGGGCGTTTTGCCTAAATTAAACACTCCCTGACAAATTGTCTAGCAGCTAATAATTCAAGATTTGTGAAGAAATAATTAAAATAACTAAATGTCGCTTTTTGACGAAATCTCATTCAAAAAAATGAGTAGGTTTTGCATTTAATTTTGACAAAATAAGCAAATAAAAGTCTGCTATACCTGTTTTCTTACTGCTTTAACAAAAAGACATCTCTTCGTGGAGAGTGAGCGTGCGACTATTAAGAGATTCACAACAAAAATATCAGATGAAGCCAAACTGCCAAACACACTAATGTGTCACATGGTCACACGGACCTACCTTGATTTGTCATGGCCAAATTGCCAAACTTGTGCAAATATTTGAAAATAGAGTAAACTTTTAAAATATGCAATTCTTTGCCATGCGGAGTTAGTGTGTGTTCTTGGTTAATTAAGCACACCCTTAAAGGTATCCTTAAGCAGTGTAAAGACGATGGACAACATTAAACAAAAGTTACAAACAAAACAATCCCCCTTCCTTCCTGAAAGTCTGTGAAATGTTCACGAAAAATAGCACATTCATTTGTATAATTTCAGGCAGTTGTAGTTGGAAGTAGTCTCTACTATTTCAGACATTGACATTTGCTTGTAGTAATTTAAATCTTCGGAATAGTTTGGTACAGTCCAACTCTGAAACGCCATGTCTGGAAAAGGTACGTGTTAACCCATGCATCCCTGTACCGCGTCAGTCTGCAGAAAACAACTGCTACTCTTTGTAAGGTACTGCCCCAAACCACGGAAAGTTATTTTTATTATCATTTTCAGCAGGGAATCTTCTTAAATGTAGTATAATGTAATACAAGCGTTAAAGTTAATTCTGTCTCTCCTTGTCGGAGTGCAGTTAAGAGGGGAGATGAACCAGAAGCCGTGCCAGCTCAGAGGGGTACTGAAGAGCCAACCCGCGACTACCCACCGCCCAAACAAATGGACTTGCAGACGCTTCAAGAACTTGACGCCGATGATGAAAGTCTGGTCAAGTACAAGCAAGCTCTACTGGGTAGCACTGCAGATTTTTTAGGTACTGTGCAAATACATTCAAACAAAAAAAGAAGAACTAGACAAAGTCTATATCTGTCTAAGAACAGAATATATAGGACCTTTCAGTGTTATGATTTTGTTACTGGTTTATGCTTTTCTGTGGAAGTGTATATGCGTGTAAATGATCGAAATATAAAAAGAAAGTCATGTTTTGGATGACATTATAACGAGTCACAACTTTCTAACACAATTGGGCTGATAGTTGTGACTATCAATTTTGAGTTGATCATGTTGTGTTCGTGAGATATGAATATAATCTTCAAAATTTCAAAGATCTGAATAAAATCACATTATGACGTCATAATAATCTCATTTAAATTTTCGTCTATAACACATCCCTGTCCATGTACCTTCAAGATTTCAACCCAATCGAACGATATAAAACTTAAAATCTTCTTTAAGATGACGTCACCTGTTTGGTTTATGTTAATTCGAAAGCGCCCGCCTATGTGCGGCTGTGCGCTATATCTCTTTTGTTGCTGGCACAAAATGGATAAGCCAGTTAAATACGTATACTGAACATGTGCTTTAGATGACCTTTTTAATTCCTTAAATTTTAGATGAAGGCGGACAAAATGTACTATTGAAGGCCATGGTATTTGCTCCAGTAGACCACGAGGAAACTGTTCTGAATCTGACAGGTAAACGAAAACACAGGGCAGTTCCACAGTTATATTTAGAGGGGGTCTTTCGTAAATTCTGTGCTGTCATTCTATAAATTCAAAGCATTTAGGGTTGATTTTTCGGGGACGTCTCTACAGTCCGAAGTCCCATTGGTCCGAAGTCCTATTGGTCCGAAGTCCCATTGGTCCGAAGTCCCATTGGTCTATACGTTCCATTGGTATAAACGTTCCATTGGTCCGACGTCCCATTGGTCCGAAGTACCATTGGTCCGAAGTCCCATTGGTCCGAAGTCCTATTGGTCCGACGCCCCATAGGATTAGGGTTAGGGTTAGAGTCAGTCAACCTGAACAAGTGGAACTACACAGTATTGTGACGAAACAGGCCCAGGGGTACATGTATATGAAGACTTGTGTAGGAGTCTAAGTCCTAGGAATTATTTATGCGTGTGATCTAGGACATTTGGTGCGTGCTTATAATGCCAAAGTGCGCGTGGACCAATCAGCAATAAATTGGTCTGCGTGATCAGGAGATTAATAATTCATGGTGTACAGTGACTAATCAGCAACGCGTATTGTGAAGGCTGTTCGCGAATTAGCATGCTTTAGCGTGGGGTCTTGAGATCATCTCGTGAGTTCGCAAGATGGCGTCAATGCAGTAGGAACGCGTTCTGGGCTGTTGCCAAGTTGCAAGAAGCCAAGCTTCGGGGTTCAGGGACGAGTCAAGTTAGCAGTAAGCTAAGTGTTATCTAATATATCATTGAGTGAAGTTGTAGCTCAAGGTCTGTTATTCAGTGTCGACTGTCTAAGATAATTGGGGACAAAGATTTAGATGGAATCTAGTAGGGAAATTAAGACTGATTATTGTGTCTTGATTAATGCTAGAACAAAAGGACTAGGAGTTGTAGAACTTGGTTTGAGAGGCTAGTGAGACTGAGATTCGGTGGTAGATTGCTTGTCGTGGGTTGGACACCATTCGGTGGGGTTTTACGACTGAGGCAATCATTGCCGTAATCATTGGATTAGCTTGCCTAACGAGTTTACTCTTTGCCGTGTTCTGAGCACTTGTGAGGGTTACCTGTTTCATGTGAGATTTACTGCACGTAAGGTTTATATTGTATAACTCACTGTGAGGGTTACTGGTTTCCTGTGAGGGTTAATTATTAGGACCGCTCAGATCGTGTGAGGGTTATTTGGATTACATAGTACAGCCTGCTCTGACGATAAATCGTGTTGAGGGTTACCTTTCTTGTGCGAGGGCTATATGTTCATCGGGCTCATAGTGTAAATTGGTTGAGGGTTACCTTTCCTCTGTGAGGGTTATTGGGACAACTCAATCTGTGTGAGGTATTGGAACTGTAATAATAACAGGGATTATACTTGTATAAGTTTATAATCATGTGGTGCAGTTGACCACGTGAGGGTTACCTAAGGCTAAGTTTACTACAAAGGGTGCAGTAACTGCAGTTGACCCTTGTTATAACTATTCTTGAATAAATCCTATTGATAATCGTCTTTGGAATAACTCGTCTATTTGAGGTTTACTCAGGTTCACCTTGAGGGTTACTAGGTTCACTGTGATGGTTACTTGAGTTAACTTTGAGGCCTATCGTCGCTACTTGTCTTGCTCTAATTACATTCAATGAATTACTCAATCACTAAACGGTGGTAAATTTCCACCAAACGAACAGCCCTTAGGCTTAGTCCACCGTTCGTTAATTGTCCCCCCCCCCCTTTCGTATGGGTAGCCGCTCACCCGTTCGTTAGGCTAATAGATATTTTTGTGGGATAATTGGTGTGGGTTGGAGTCCTGGGATAAAAAAGACCAGTCCCCTCGGGTTCCCGTCAACACCCGCCGGTTCCGTTACAAATGGTGTCAGGATCGGTTCCGCCACAGTATTCTGTTTCGGACCAATGGGACTTCGGACCAATGGGACTTCGGACCAATGGGACTTCGGACCAATGGGACTTCGGACCCATGGTACTTCGGAATATTTTTCTCACAGAAAATCTTTTGAAATTAGGCACACATTCTACAGAAAGGGCAACAAAACCAACTTCTGTTGGTCTGGCAATATTTTTTGTCATTAGTAGGCATAACTCACGCTACCAGAAAAGGACAAGGCAAAACAATTATGAAAGTTGCACCACACTGCCCCATGAACGGCGAAGTGGTTGTCGACTAAGTGGTTGTCGGCGAAGTGACCGACACCCGGGTGTCGGTCGGGTGTCGGGTGTCATGTGCAAGCTACCAGTTCAATTATCCAAAAAAAAAAAAAAAAAATCGTAAAGTTTCTAGAGGGATATTAATATTGGTAACTCACGTTATGGTAGGTATCTCACAATGCAGTCTGTCCACGTTGGTAAATATAAATATTTTGTTTGTAACTATATTCCCAAAATTGGTATAGAGGACACGAACGACAAATGCATTACAATGCGCCCTGAAAATCGCCACGTTTGCATAATCGTCGGTTTTGAAGACCGCCCCCATTGGAAGATGGTATACCAGCCCCCTCCCCCACCATTTT